AATTTGTTAAATATAACAACTTTCTATATTTACTATATCTACTTTCCGAACAATTTTTAATTAATAATTTTGGGGTAAGGTTTTATTGAAGATTGTAGAGATACTTGTATGAAATAGTTCACAGTTTATTTTAGTAATATGTGTGTGTGTGTGTGTGTGTGTGTGTGCATACATACATACATACATACATACATAACACACAAGCGCATGCAACAATTATTGTTAACTTCGAATTAATTTGGTAGTTGGTCTCAAGCGGAAAGGCCTGTGACCGTTACCTACATTCAGAAAGTTTGTAGCTTTGTCTACCTATCAACAGAAAATACATTTGCTTGTATTTTCTGTTGATAGGTTTTGCATTCAAATCACATTCGAGCTAGGATTTTCCCTTAAATGATAATATTCATGCATCATCTAAATAACTATTTAATTGGAAATATTGTACTTCCAAGAGTTGTTAAGCCTATTTTAATGTCTACATTGGTTGTAATTGTAAGTCCGTTTCCTACGTTCTTAAGCTTATAAAAGAAAGTAGTTTGCTTATATTTGCTGTTGGTAGGTTTTAAAATATAACTTATTTCTAAATAAATAGAAATTTACAGAAATTTCGTTATGGTGTGAACACCTTTTCCAAGCTGGCGAAAATACCCATCACAAGACATTAGTGTTAAGCCTACTATTACCTTTCATTTATCAGAAAATCTATAGAATAGTTTATAAATAATTATTTACGGTCCAAGTCCCAGTTGAGCCGGGATTTCTTTGATTCATAACTGATTATGTTTAGAACAAGCTCAATTAATGTTTGTAAAAATTTGAATTATACTATTGTTATAATTATGGATTTTAAATATTTGTTAACGTTATCAAAGTGACTAGATTACATGCTTAGTCTCCCGATGGGACAACGGTAAGTCTGCAGACTTACAACGCTAAACCCCTGGGTTCGATTCCCCGCAGTGGAGACATTAGATAGTCTATTCTAAAACACAAATACAGTGCTCGACTTTCCTGTGGAAGTCTTGTGCTCAAATCCTAGTCGAGTAGGGATCTTATTTTAATTTTCATTTTTTGATAAATAACCATATTTACAGTCAGCTTTTTGAAGATTCGGAAAAATCAAAATATCATTATACATTAAATCTGGAATTTGAGATGTTGGTTAACTTTCTAGATATAAAATGGCATGTTTACTGCATCAAGCCACGCAAGTCCACCTCGCTCCTGATTTCCGTTGGGTACTTCTAACACCATCTGTGAAATAAATTCTTAATAAAACAAAATAGTTCAATGCTAGATCATAGTAGGTGCGTTAAAAGAATAGTATTTTACAATTGAAAGTTTGTATCAAGTGATATTTCCTATTAATTTACGAACTAAATGCTTTTTTTTTTTTGTTAAATGTTTTCTATTTTTATCCGTGAATAATCCTGGTGGGCAGAGCACAGATAGGCCATTGTTTAGCTTTGTGCTTAATTACAAACAAAACAATCGTGAATAATCTGAGGTAATTTACATATAAATAAAAATACCTAATATGGACGGAAACTGCAAGAAAGAAAACATCCTTACCAAGAGAAGAAAAAGGTAATAAATAATATAAGTAGAAATACCTAATATGGACGGAAACAATGAAGCACTGCAAGAAAGAAAACGTCCGTTTCCAAGAGAAATAGGTGGACGTCACGACAAGGTAAAAAAAAAAAATCAACTGTCTCGGATGCCAAGGAAATAGCTCGAACTGAAACAGTTCATCCACCTATGGTACTTGTAGGTGGTCTTGACAAGAGGTCATAATATGATACTGTGGCTGGCAAAAAAGCAGGAAGTTCTATAGATACATCTCCAAAAGTTTTCTGACTCGTCGGGTGCTATTTCAGCTTGGCGCCCTCAGTCATCCTTTCTTCCCTTGTGCCGAAATGATTTTCCAAGGGTATGGTTGGATCTACCTTTATGGGTGCATCAGATATTGGCCAATCATCTTCAGTCTGTAGTTATAGGTTAATCAATATCAGTAACTTTTGCGGTATTGCCAAAACTTTTATGTCCAAGAGAGGATTTTTCCTCCATTCCATACTTCTCTCATAAAACCATCTCTTTCTCCACTGGCAAGTTATCCCTATTCGTCGAGAGTAGTTCTACCTTGATGATATGTCATTATTTCAGTAACAGCTTTATTTTAAACTCAAGAGATCAAGTAAGGGTCAATATTCAAGTTCGTAAAACAGAAAACTATACAAATATTCTTTTGTTATGGTACCAGAATATCTCGGATAAAACTGATTTCTGCCCAAATGTTATATAGGTTCACTTTATAACAGAAAGATAGATTATAAAAATGATAAAGTATTTGAGTTAAACTAAATTAGCCAGCAGCTTTCCTCTCTGAAGAAGTACTTCAGTTGATTTGTTCACTGTGTTGACCAAGTATAACTGGCGTGAATTCAGTGTTCTGTATAGACAGATACTGTATTTACCCAGAACGATGTGCATTAACACGTGAATGATCATTCTCTTATAACAGTTAAGATTGTATCAACTACTTGGCGAGTGAAAGACACTGCTGTTGTTGATCCATTCTACAAAATGTACAAAGTTATAACAACATACCCACAGGCAAAGTAGATACTATCTGCTAGAGAATAACAAAAGTAACTATAATGAAAATAACTCGAAGGTTTCTGGAACACGTGTTCATGCAAAACCTGCATAGAATTAGGTTAAGCGAAAGATTTTGAAAATTACTATGTCAATACAAAAATGTAGAAAACAAATGGTAGGCATGCATACTACAGCAATACTCTCCATGGGAAGAACAGGTATTATTTTCTAAAGAAACAACGGCAATCAGGACGAGATTAAATTAACTACTCTTTCAAACAGTGTTGTATGAAACGTGCGTTTATAGAAAATAACGAATAAATACTATTATAATATAAGAAGACAGAAACACATGCATATTTATATACTATACTGGGCTTTGTTTCGGAAAGTTTAAGGTGAGAGGTGCAATGCAACTGAACATGCTGCAAAGTCTCAGATGTGGGCTCGTTATAAAGTTATAGTCAAACCCGATACTCGGTTCTAGGAGTCGGGTAAAGCCGACTAATTAAACTCTCTATGGTCAGCCACCCAGTAGCACAGCGGTATGTCTGTGGACTCACAACGCTAGAAACCGGGTTTCGATACCCGTGGTGAGCAGAGCACATACAGCCCTTGTGTAGCTTTGTGCATAATTATAAACAAACAAACTCTATGGTCAATAGTTCAAAACTAAAGTGAAGGATAAGGGTCTATAACATGGCCATGTTAATAAAGTTCTGTTCAGTTGAAAATACAAATACCTGAAGTTAATACCTTCTTAAAACAAACATAAATTCCTAAACTCAATTTTGGGTGATTCCATATTATTACTTTATAGGTGACCTAACCAGTTAGCATTAGTTTACAATATTTATATTTGCTACAAAACAATAATAAACACATACTGCCAATAAATACAATTTTCCAGAATTACTTAGACCTATTGTTTTCCCAAAATTACTGACAACAGAGAACATGCAATTTACCGGACACCGTTGCTACTAATAATATTTATTCCTATTGAATTTCTTTAATTTAAAAATCACACTACATTTCACACATTTTAATATGTCGATTACAGGGTAAAATATTGCAAAATCATATTTGAAACTAAGGGAAAGTGTTTTATACGTAATGTAATGCATCATTAAGTAAACTAAAAAGCTAATTAAAATATAAAAATTCCATCAATTTTATTCAGTTTTTTCGCCCATCACATATAAGCGACAAAAATATCTACTAAGTAATATATCATGATTTAACATTTATTGCTTAAAATATTTTTTCTTTTGTACATGTACCGAAACTTATATATAGTTACGTCTCTGGTCGTAAGTTAATTTTCTGTAAAAATTATTTCCGAAGAAACTTTAGCGATACAAGTCCTTTCTTAAATAAAACTAG